AATCTTGTTCATCCCATTCCTGGCAAACAGCCATATTTTTGAGATCAGTGAGAATGACCACCTACGGACCATGGCTGGTGACCCACGCCCGCAATCATTGATGTACTTCACACTTCGCTAATGCTTCCCTTTCTCCGGTTGTCGCTAATGCTTCACTTTCTCCAGGCGGAATTACTACCCTCGCCCCGGGCTAACGGCCGGAACGGCGCTCCGCGCTGTTGGCTCGAGAATATGATGGGTTATTTTTTAGATCATTTAGAGCAACTTCTACTCGTGCTTTGTATGGTACTTCGAATCTCCAGAAGAAAATTTTCAAGTCTCTTAGTATTATGTTTCTGCACTGAAGCAAGGAATAGCTTCGTTCTATGGGACTTCGCTCAAACGTTTCTTTGCTTCCAGGTTAAAATTAGTTCTGGCGGTTACCTTTCGGTCATTGAACAAGGAACCGTATTTACTGGCATAACAATCTTGTCACGGCAATGTACAGTATGTATGGTCTATCGAGCTTGCATGTCACTGGAGAATTTTAAGCTTTTAGTAATGAGTTAATTTAACTCAGGACATTAACATTATGATAGGTGATGTAGCGTCTATCAACCGTATTGACTAAGCAACATACAGAAAGATAGATCATCATGGAAAACAACAATTAGCGAAAGCGGATTGCCATAATGCCATATCTACTTTTATGGTTCATCAGTATACCCGTTGGGCCGTTCCTTTACTCGGAACGTTTGCAAATACCATCAGAAACCACATGCGTTCACGTCTGCCAAGTTACACTTGGGCAAAGGAAATTTTTAAAATCTGCTCAGGTTTGCCACAGCCAAACATTTGAATCTCCTTCACGTATCCGTGAATACCGTCAACACCCCTTAGCTTGATTACCCACGAGGAAAGTAGAAATGTTTTTCCTCCCATGCACGTGGGGCTTCGAAGATACATACGTCTTTTTGGAATCAACGCAGTAGCTGAAATATTTCAGAATGCCATACCCAAAAACAAAAACGACGATCACACCCAAAAACGACGCTTTCGCCATTGTGGTACTATATTAAAAGCTTTGGTCATTGTTAAGTGTGAAATGCCTAACATTGATATTTCACAAGAAAATGACCATGCAATACTCATAGTCAAACGTCAATTTGTGGACCTACGTTATCTTTTTTTAAAGAGACATTAAAGATTAAAACAAAGGCACGCAGAATATGGTAGGACCAACAACCAACATTTAACTTGGATGACAGGTACATATTAATATTTATTTATTTCTTGTGCATGCATGCTTAGTGATATTTTTTGATTTCCTGCAATCGGATTGGCTGCAGCAGCGGGCAGCTTTTTACGATATCTTGACCGTGGTGCAAAAGACTGAAAAGATTTATTTCTTAGAGACAAACCGAAGAGTGAAGAAAATATTCAAACTCAAAACACTACGCAAAAATTTTTAAAAATCCTCCCTATCGATACTAAATAAAGTAAAATACAGTGAATTGGCTTCAGTGGACTTAGTGGCAAGCACAAAATGTACTTTTCTCTGACCAAACTGCGAAAAAAACAAATATAAACATCGGAAAACACTTGCCATTGCTACATGTTTTGATTCAAATGTTCCAAAATATTATTATATTCAGCTATTCTTCCAGAATATACGTATAAATATAAACAGTACAACGTACAACTTGACCTTAAACATAAAATTTAAAAAAAAACTTAAAAGGCAGCTTAAAGACGATTCCCGGTCTTATTCTGGAAAAAGTGTTTTTATAAATGTTGTAAAGAACAAATTGTTTTTCGGCAACTAAAATTTGTATTTGTCTTTCAAAAAGCATTTTTGAACCATGTAAAAAATGCTGCAAAACGAATCGGAAAATAAATATTTTTACTTTGTTTACCTTCTGTTTTCTTGGTGAGTAGAAAAGCATCTGTTGCAATGAAACTAAAAACTATTTATCCAGCTTTTATCGCGTCGTTTTAGCAGTTTGTCAGCCATGCTTGCACTAAAATAACAAACGCAACTGATCTCAAATGTACATCGCAACTGGAATTTTATCGGAATTCATTATAACCATAAACTGTCAGATAAAAAATAGACACGACATTTACCGTTTAGGTCCGTCTGTACTAAAAAGTATTTACCCATGACCTCGGGAAAATATTTTTTCAGTGCGGACCTTGCAGCCGGTAAATAACAGATATGTATTTATTTGTTGCTACAAGAAATAAAACAAACGTTTGTATAATTGTATTTAGTTCTTAGTCTATATCACGCACCCTTCTTCTTCTTCGTCAAAAACTTTCACACACTCCCCCCCCCCCTGTCACGGCCATGTTACTTTGTCCACGCGAAATTTGCACGGAATGTTTTGAACATACTGTATTTGGAAAGATTTCAATGAGTATCGGCCATAAACAGCAGCGTAAAGTGGCGAATATGGCTAAATACGTCCATTTGCATCAAGACAGTAATAATATATTTAAATGAGTACCAATTAATTATCTTCTATAAAAAATATTAGGAAAGAAATATAATACAGTATATATCCACTGCTGTTTATCTGAAGCTGTATGAGTATTGCATAGCCTAGCTTGTGAAATATCGGTGCTAGGCATTTCAGACTTACCAATGACCACCCATATAAGCACCATCTCTGAACCATATAAACAACTCCGAATAGCCGAAGCTTTTATGGTTTAGTAGATAGCACTATGGCGAAAGCATCGTTTTGGGGGTGTGGTCAGTTTTGGGCGGTTTGTCCCGGGTTCGGGCAGAGTTACCATATTGAACGTCATGATCAGCTTGCCCTAAAACAATTGAGATCATCAGTTGTAAATGAAATGACACAAACTGATATACAGGTCTCTCGACTGAATCGTTACTGATTCAATTATCAAGTGTATCAAAGGCCGAGGATAACACCAAGCCAATACTGCATAAAAGCCCATAGAAACTTATATTGCACATAGGAACGGAACTAATGACCTACGAAACGCCGACTCAAAACCTGTTGCTGATAGTATATATGTTACACTCGATCATCACGCAGTATCCTTATACCATGGTCATTGTTTGTGGAATTCTTACCAGAAAAGATGCCAAGGATATTGCAGACCGGGTAATACAAACTAATTCCACAATAAAATCCTCATGTAGAGAAAGTGAATTGGTATTTATATGAATGACATGAAAAACTAGTTTCATATTATTCTGACACTGCAATAGACCAACGAAGAATTCGTTGCCTCGAGCGGGATTTGAACTCGCATTTTCGAGTATCTAGACCGCCGCTCTACACATTGAACTATCGAGTCAACGGGGATTCGTAAGGAGTCTTATCCAATTTAAGTGCACAAAATATTTTCGTGACGACTTACGCTTATCTTAGAGGACGCGCAGTGTTTCAATTCTATTTCAGAACCATCTTCAGAGATACGAAAACTAAGTTTCATAGTATTCTAACACTGCAATAGACCAACGAAAAATTCGTTTGCTCGAGCGGGATTTGAACTCGCATTTTCGGGTATCTAGATCGCCGCTCTACCCATTGAGCTATCGAGTCAACGGGGATTGGTAACGAGTCTTATCCAATTTAAGCAAGGCATTTTTAATACCATGGACTGGTGGGACATTTGCCCCAATGGGCCTCTTCTTCGGCCCCACCACTGAAGGTGGGGGCCCCCACTGAAGAAAAAAAATGGCCCATTGCCCCAAAGTCAGGGCCCTAGGACCTGTATTGAGTAAACCAGATTAACATTGAAAAGAAGTTGATGATGTATTTGAATATTTAGCATGGAATTTATAACAAACTTCACCATTAAAACTTTGTTTTGAGAAGTTGAGATTTTTTTAAAATCTGTTCTCAGAATGCAGGTAAAGCTGTGCCTGCGTTACCCGGCTCACACCTTTGGCGATACAAATTCTTTTCTCGTAAACAGTCGGACTCCTCATAGACAGTGGGACGCGTCATTGACCCATGCCTTTAAACAAAACATTCTTATTAGATATGCTTCCCAGCGTGTCTTGCGTGCGCAATTGGTATGGATTTCAAAATAGTATTGCTTGGTTGAAATGCCAAAATGTGAGCAGGACACTTTGTGGCAGCGTTTCCACTTGGAAGTAAATTTCCTTCCAGAAAGAAATTTTGGCCTTCGGAAGGAAGTTTGGAAGGAAATAGCATTTGGAAGGAAATTGGGAGGAAATATTGTTATAAGGAGGGAAGTGAGAAGGAAATTCTAAGAAAAAGGCAATTTTCACACAATTTTCGTGCAAAAAATGCCTTAAATGCAGTCCTGGAGAATTTAGGACAGGACTCCAGAATCCTTATAAATAGAGGTTATTAGACGGTTGCGAAGAGATATGAAATTTATCGAGTGGCAAAAATAGTATCTCACGAGTGAGCGCAGCGAACGAGTGAGATATTGTTTTTGACACGAGAACATAAATATATATCTTCTCGCCACCGTTTAATGTTCTTTTTGTTATACGGACTTTATACTGAGAGTGACAAAAATACACACAAAGACGACATGTAAATAATTATACTAAAACTGTGTTACGGACGCTACTATAATTAATCTAATTATTTCGCGCCGTTTGTTGACATTAGCATAATTAATTTAGGGCCAGTCTTCGCGAGCGAGGTTTTTTGGAAAACTATTGATATTCGTGATAGATATACAAACGTAATCTGCTTTAAAATCGCCATAAGATGTAAGTATTTCTTTCATTTTGACTTTGAAACACTTGAACTTGTTGTTAATAAACGTTATTTGTAATTCTATGTAGCAAACCTTTGTTTACGACCGATATTAGTCGAAATACGGACAGAATCGAGGACAGAATGATACATGGATATTTGATATGTACAAGATATTTGTCATGATGTACTGCTTAGAATAAACTAAATTTGAGAGTAAATAAAGTGTAATGACGTGGTGATTATTATTTGATATATAAACGACATTCGGTTGGGTTCGTTCCCAACATAGTTTGATCTTTTATGGATGAAATCGGTGCAAAACAGTTCGACGAACTTCGCGATCGACGAAGTCAACAAGCCGGAAGTGACGACGGTTTACGAAGGACATCTCGGACCCGGAAGGTCCAGCGTGAGTACGCAGAATATTTAAATGAAATACATTCCAAAGGACTAAAGCATGAATTATTAAAACTTTCGCAAATTATTGAAGTATCTACAGAGTCTTTAAAAACTTATGATTATAGTAATATTGAGACTACAGAAATTGAAAAAACTTTGGACACTATACATTCAAAGTGGGTTAAGTACCTCAAAGTACATGAAGATTATTCTCAGCTGATTAATAACACGCGTGACTTGGAGCGTCTTAGCATCCAACGTCAAAGTCTCGAACGAAAAATAAATGAATGTAATCAACTAGCTATTGGTCAACTTAACAAGAGCATTCGCAGTTTACAGAGAGACTCAAAGTTTGAGAATGGTCTTCACCTTAAGGATGATGATAAACTTTCTGTTTCAGTACAAAGTAGTGTTTCCATGTCAAGGT